ATATTTACAGATTAGTTATATATTTACAGATTAGTTATATATTTACAGATTAGTTATATATTTACAGATTAGTTATATATTTACAGATTTGTTGTAACGTATTTACAGATTTGTTGTAACGTATTTACAGATTTGTTGTAACGTATTTACAGATTAGTTATATATTTACAGATTTGTTTTAACGTATTTACAGATTTGTTGTAACGTATTTACAGATTTGTTGTAACATATTTACAGATTTGTTGTAACGTATTTACAGATTTGTTGTAACGTATTAACAGATTTGCTGTAACATATTAACAGATTTGCAATGACATTTTGTACAGTTAGTTTTCTTTCTGATTCAACTGCTTGTCATTTGAACTGTGTTTGGTGAATGTAAAAATAGTTTCCTTGTGCTTTTAGCCAAGATTCTTAACTTTATTTTGATACCAAACATGTCCAGGTTCAACTGACAGATCTTAAGTTCACAGAAGTTAAAAGAAATAGAAAAGGGAAAAAAGCTGTTTTGTCCCCGGTACCGGGGGCATGGGGCTCAAGAGGTCGAGGTTCTGTCTGTGGTACCGTTCTGCCGTCACTTTCTCTTCTCAGTTCCTCCTGAAGCTCAGCCAGCTGGTCCTCCAACTCTCTGACTCGTGTTTCAGCGTTGCCTCTGTCCATCCTCAGCTGGGTCAGCCTGTGAGGCAGGAGCACACTCTCACATCCGGCCATGACTCTGTCAACTCAATCACTTTTGTTTCTATTGTCAATAAGATGCTGCTGTCAGCAAACCGTCACACTTCTGACTTACAGTGTGTGTGTGTGTGTGTGTCTCCTCTCACTCTGATTGTGTTTCATTTAATTCTCTCTTCTTCCGATCCAGCGTCTCCTGGAGTTGCAGATTTTCATCCAGACAGGACTCCAGCTCAGCTTTCAGCACAGGGTCAGAGCTGCTAACAGACTCCTGCACACGAGCAGACATGATGAATAAATGAGGGGAAGTGAAACACGAGACTTCAGGTGGAATAAATAATTAGTCTTTAGGAATAAAAACTCTGCAGTGGGCTTCCACACTGATCAATACATGTAACAGTTTAAGGTATTAAGAGTTATTTGAACTTAAGTCTTGTGGAGTTTTTTTTAAACCAACACAGAAGGAGTTCTGAGTGTGTTTGTGTGCACCTCTACCCAGGCCAGAGGGGCTTTATGGTTTAATCTGAGGATTAATCTGAAGCACACTCCATCTAATGCAACTAATTAGTCCTGGTTAGATTATTTAAAAAAGGCATAAAACTCAGAGGAGTTACTACCCTCATTAAAGAGAAGGTTAAATAAAATAATGTCTTATTCTGAGAAGACTGGCAGGAAGTGTTTGTGTGTTTCTGGATTTGATCCATGTGATTAAAGCAGTTCTTCCTCACATCCCACTGACAGCTTGAACTGACAGATAAATACATGCTGATCTAAGCCACAAGTGTTTTTAATAATCTGCATACTTTACCCTGATTATTAGGGATGCACCGATATGAAAATTTCAGCCAATATCGATATAATTATTGCTGTTCTGGCTGATAACCGATATTTACTGATTTTACACAAACACACAAATTATATTATATAAATTTATGCACAAACACAGCATCAATATCACTATCATGATCAAACAGATGCAGCTCAACCAACCATTTCCTCTTCCAAAACAGAAACTCAAAGATAAAAAGTGGGAAATCAATATCAGAAATTACCGATACTGATATGAATGCTGATATATCGTGCATCCCTACTGACTATAAATGTTTGGTAATACGATTAGACTTCACCCAAGTTTAGAATAGAATAGAATAGAATAGAAACGAAACAGCCTTTATTATCCCACAAGGAGAAATTCAGGTGTAGCAGCAGCAGCAGGTACATACATCAATCCACAGAAACAGTATATTACTATGTGACATTATCAATTGTAGCAATAATAAAATTAAAGATAATAACAATAACAATAAACATAGATCAAAATAAAAGTAAGAATAATCATTACTGTAACGTCTATTAAGATGAAGTTGAGTAAAATGAAGAATAAAGAAAGATACTGTGCAGAAATATATAAATTACAGGAAAAAAGCAGTCATGACTCATGATCTGAGGGGGTGTGCAAAATGATTTGAACTCAGTTATTAAGTCCAGTACAGGAAATAAATAAATAAATAAATAAATAAATAAATAAATAAATAAATAAACGACGTACAATTTAATTTTGATGAATAAAAATAGAGCTCACCCTCCTCCTCTCCTCCTGCAGGGCAGTTTGAAGTTGAGCCACCTTTGTCTGAAGCTCCTTTTTGTCTCTGACCCAGTCTTCACGGGGGCTTTCATTAGGCTGCAAAAATAAATAAATAAATAAAACAGTACATGTAAACTTTTTTTTTTGTTAAACAAAAATAAACTCAGTAAATGGAGTCATGTCAGGAAAAGAACAAACCATTATGCTCTGAATCTTCTGAAAGATGGTTTTAACTTTGTGCCTGATGACAACGTCACTTTCACTGGACCTACAAGAACAAAAAGTAGTTCCTTTTCAGGGTTCCTACAGTTTAAGACAAGTTAAATCTAAGACTTTTTAAGACTTTTTAATGCCAAGTGAAATTAAATTTAACACCAATTTCATAATAAAACAAAATGAAAAAAAAAACTGTGGCAGAAACTCATGAATCAAAGTATTTTTGGTTGAAGTATTCAAATATTGCTAACAGACCAATTGTTTTTATCCATATCTTAACTATAGCAGAAACATTCTTAGCAGTCAGTTTTTAAACTTAATTTAATTTCTGGAAATTCTCTAACGACCCAAAATTTGGAGTTTTAGGACCAATAGTGGGTTCTCAACCCCAGTTTGCTGTAAATGAAACCTTAAAGTGCACGTGACATCAAAATTTGTAAGATATATGAAGGCATTTTTGGAAAGACAACATTATTAATATATTAGAAAATGAATTTCACACTGCTCAGATGAACAGTTGTTGAGATATTTGCATGTGAAACAACAGGAAGTGATGTCAAAGGGGAATGTCTGCATGTGAATATTTAAAAAAAATTTACCAATTATTTTAATATTTGAGATGAATTACAACATTTTTAAGACCTCTGAAGATTGATTTAAGACCTTTAAGGCTAATTAAGGTCTTATTTTTGGATTGATGAATTCAATGACTTTTAAGACTTTTTAAGGATCTGCAGGAACCCTGGTTTTATTAGGTCAACTAAATTCAGCAGTAAAATAAAACCTAAACTAAATAAAAACGTGCGTCTGTACCCTTGTCTCAGGATGTTGTACACAGTCTTCAGGAGCTGCTCCTCCTCGATGCTGGTCTCAGAACTCTGAACCTGGTCCAGCAAAAGGTCAGGGGTCACCTTAAGACAGATCAGAAAACTCTTGCCATGTTGCCTGCTTGGTGGTGTTTAGAGCTCAGACAAAGGGAGCACGCCAAAGCAGAAATTGTTGTTGTTGTTTTTACCTGTGGGTCGATCAGATCCACCTGCAGCGGTTCTTTAGGCGTCCACTGATTGGCCGAGTGTTTGGGAGCTTGGAGCGGAGCCTGGCCTGGTCTGGAGCTGCTGTAGGTTGAAGATGGAGGTGAGGTGTAGGGTTTGGGCGCGACGTGAGGAGACGGAGCTCTGGGCTGCTGAGGTGCTGGGGGCGGTCCTCTCTGCTGACCTCCAGGTGTGGCGCCGTCAAACCTGTTCCTGAGCCTGTCGACTGAAGTCAGCCTTTGATTGGAGCGGAGCTCGTTTGTTTGTTGAGGAGGGTCCGGGTCCCTCACTGACCCCAAAGACCTGTTCAGCCCTGCCTGGTATGAACCCCCCCACATGTTGCTGTCCACCCTCCCCTCTCTACCACCCCACGTGTCCTCCCTGTCTCTCCTGACTCCAACTCCTCCGTCCAGATTCCCGTAGCTCCCAGACTTTCCATCCCCAGGTGGTCTAGAAAGCTGGAAATCCTCATGGCCCCCTCCATCCCTGTCTAGTAGTGAGCCGTGGGACTGAGCCCGGCGTAGCCCCCCTCCCTGCTCCACACTTCCATCTTCCCCCTGGCTCCCTGGATCTGCCTGGTCTTTCCTCCTGGGAAGGCTGCGGTAGCTGGTGGCATAGTCGGTCCTGAGCTGGACCCCGTAAGAGTCCCCCTTCTGTCCGTTCTTCAGGACGACGTACGGCTGGCCATCGATACCCTGCACCCGGACCGCTACGCCATATTTGGACTGAGGCTTCAGCGCAGGCTGGGATAATGGCTGCCCCCCGCCTCTGTCACCGAGATCATTAATGAAGCGGATCTGGACACCGTGGTCCACCGGGGTCTTCTGTCCTGAAGGCCGTGTGCTCATCCTGATAACACAACAAAGAAGAAGACAAGAACGGGGAAAAAATGACTAAAGCAGAACGAGGAGCGGTACTTTAAGCTTAAAGCTACTCGAACAAAAGACAACAAATCTGCCATAATGTAAACAAGTTTAAACAAAACCATTAAAGGAATCACTTCTCAAAACACGTCGTCACAGTTTAAAACATTTCCTCCAAGGTTTAAAACAAAAGGAAAATGCTTAAAATACAGTTTGTGTAACTTATGAGATCTGAGCGTTCAGAAAGAAACAAGTTTCTGTTTTAAACAGGGCAGAGGAAAAGAACAATTAAAAACAGAATGGTTTCTGAGATATTTTATTGTTCACGTGACAACTTCTGACAAAACGGCACGTCGTGAAGAAAAACTCATTAGCATAAAATGTGACCATCAGATAATAGTTTTAAAAGGATTAAATATGTGAAATATGTCACGCATCACATCGAAATGAGGATTAAGTCAAATTTGGTCAAAATGACCTAATCTTATTTTCAGATTCCTGCTTTAAAAGTTACATTTTGACATTTAGATCATCCTGATATAATTAGATCTAGAGATATTATTTAATTTGCCTTGTTGGTTACAATAACACATAAATATTTGGTCTAAATCCTAATTTTATGTCATTTTATTGAGGATTTTTTTGTCACCTTTAAGGCGTTTTTCCTCAAAATCGGGAATTTTTGTTGCTATTGCTCAAAAAAGTGCTTCAAAAAATTTTAGTTTAATATTTCAGACAGTTCATTGAAATGATACATGGATAACACATTTATTAGTTATATTTTGACAAACTGTAATTTTTGCAAGTGTTTTAATCAAAACACTATCTGCCTGTTTCTCCACATACAACTTTTAGACTTAATCCTTGTTTCGATGTGACGGCTCACATAAGACGAGTGAACGGAGTGAGGCAGAAAATCACTTTTAATGTGTATAACCTACAGTACAAACACACACTGCCTTAGGAGGTAAACTCTACTGAATGTGTGCAGATAAAACTCAAAAAACAGAGTATAAAAACATCCCACAGAATGAAAAACCTGCAGGAAGAGATGAAACGTACCAAACAAAAGCCCACAGAGCTGACAGACATGACAAATGTTTACTTTTGATTGGGGGTTTTTTTTTGGGTTGAAACTGCAGCAGACTGAACTAGAAAGGTTTAATCTACTCAAAACTTTACATCAATTTTAACAGTCAGCTTTTGGGAAATTATGACATCACCTTTTACTTCTAGTAACTAAAATAAAATAAAATATAAAAAGATGTTACTGCAGTTTGTCCATCAGACCTGATTAGGATCAGCTGGTAACATTTTTTACTTTCTTTTCTCTTTATCCTAATGATATTTACATAAAAAAATGTAAAAACTGTAACTAACTTTTAATAAAAAATGTCTATAAGTAATTTGGTAAAAGGGCGCCACACATTTCCAGGCTCTGACACTGGGTTTCTGTCTCCTGACTGATTGTTTGAACTTTGTTCTTGTTGCAGTCCATTAGTCATTAACCAGAGAGTACACACCCTCACATGACGCTCCCTTTACACAACACTTTACAAACTCAACAGTTTCTACTCACAAAGGCAGAAACAATTAATATCCTGAATATAAACAGGTGTCGTCCCAAATAACGCACTGCTCTTTTGGTTAGCTGCAGTATTCATGGCCTCTGACGTGTTTGTGTTTTAACTTTTCTCCTTAAAGGAAAATTCTCTAATATTTTTCCTGTTGAACACTTCGATCAGCTGAAACAACTTCACATGAACCGAGCTTTTCACGAACTGTCTCCAGTAACTGTGAGTGTTTTAAGGTGGAACTGTGAGTGTTTTAAGGTGGAACTGTGAGTGTTTTAAGGTGGAACTGTGAGTGTTTTAAGGTGGAACTGTGNACTGTGAGTGTTTTAAGGTGGAACTGTGAGTGTTTTAAGGTGGAACTGTGAGTGTTTTAAGGTGGAACTGTGAGTGTTTTAAGGTGGAACTGTGATTGTTTTAAGGTGGAACTGTGAGATGTTTCAGTGAGCTGACAGAAGCAGAGCAGAGCTCCCTCCTGACCTCTCCACCACACACTTCACCGTCAACACCTGAGGTGAGCGACAGAAAGAGAGGGCGAGGTGATGAAACAAAAACACTCGTTTTCTTCTCTTATCAGCTCCTGGAAGGAGAAAATCCAAAGTCGAACTGTGTCTGTGAGCAAACCTGCCTCCATAAACCCACATGCAGCTGAAACAACCAGTATTCAGTCGAGTTTCATCTGAAACATCAATCCAATGCCAACGCCCACAAAAAGGACTTATTTAGGAGCTTAAAGTGACCGTGACATTAAATGTTTGAAATAAACTTGAATGCATTTTTGGAGAGAAAACATTAACATGCTGTAAAACAAACTTCACACTGCTGAGATGAACAGCTGTTGAGATATTTGCATGTGAAGAAATAGGAAGTGATGTCAGAGGGGAATGTCTGAACAGAGCGTTGTTACAACAGCTAACACAAAATACACAAAAAATACAAAATACAGTAAAATCTGATGTTTCTTTAGATTATTTTGAGTCACTATCAGAGAGATGAAGAAGGGTTAAAGTTTAAATAATATTGTTTTAATAAACAAAGACCAGAGTTTATTTTACTAATGAGTTCCCCTTTGATGTCACTTCCTGTTTCACTTTGGCTGAACCAAATTCAAAATAAAATGGGCCAGTTATGTGACATAATGGGTAAAATCATGTGTACTATGCCAATTTTCTTAAGTATAAAGATGTTTTCTTTGACTTTTTGTATTTGAAGGATATAAATGTCACAGGTACTTTAATGCAAAGCAGTTTTGATAATGAAGTGTGTAATAATAACAACAACAATAATAATAACAATAAAAAACAACAACAACAATAATAATAATACAAACAATAACATACGGACTGTCCTCACACTCATACATACTCCGTATATAATCTGTATATAATCTGTATATAATCTGAAAATCTTGCCATTAACTATCTTACATTGTAAATCTACTAATATACAATTCATTCCTAACATTCTGTATAATCTGTATAATCTGTATATGTGCACATAGCTCCCATATTTCTTTATTTATATTATATTGTTTTTATATTGAACACTTTATTTTTATAACAACCTTTGCACACCTGTAAATACATATTAAACCCTGTATAGCACTTCTGGATAGATGCAAACTACATTTCGTTGCTTGTACTTGTGACGGTGCAATGACAATAAAGTTGAATTCTATTCTAACAACAACAACAACAACAACAACAACAACAACAACAACAACAACACAGTCAAGAGCAATAAAAAGAGCAAAAAACAATGTTTCTGTAAAGTTTGGGTGAAGTAATGACACGAGAACATGTAAAAGGTATCTAATGTGATTATGTATAATCCACACACAGACCCAGTTTCCATGTCTGCAGGGTTGATCTCTTTTTCCCACCCTTTGGGAAGCAGACAGGAAGAAACACGTCACAATACATGTGTGAAGTCATGCATGAAGTCTGCAGCCCAGACTCATCCTGTCATACATGACTAATTGTTCCAAGGATCTGTAATTAAACTAAGTTATAAAACAACACGTCTAAAACGTGACATGCTCGTCTGAAGCAGGTGAATCTGCAGTCGGGTTTTTTCTAATTAAAGAAAGCAAAGAGTCGAGCACAAACTAGGCTTCCTCTCCTGAACCCATCAGTTTTTATATTATTTGTGTCAGGGGAAGAAAACAACTCAGGGGATGGGAGAGTTATGGGAAACATGTCTTTGTCCAGCTGATGTGGAGCAGAAAACAAGAGCAGCAATCCTGAGAATGTAACAAACTAAATTAATTAATTAAAAATGTTCCTCCTCAATGCTTTCTCTGTCTCCAAACCATTCTTTAAAGATTGTTTTCCCAAAGCTAATATCTTTGTTTAGTCTGAGACTTTTGGTCCAAATAGTTGTAATTCCATAGAGTGAGCTCTTTGATTACAGCTAATTAATTAGGCTGATTATTATTTCATCGTTTGAAAGGAGTCAACACAATAGCTGAGGTATAACAACAACAAAACTCTGACACATTTGTCAGTGCAGATGGATTTAAACGTGGATTTATATTTTGGATTTTCTGTTCTCAGTAATTTAGTTCATGTAATATTATTAAAAGTGCATGACTAAATCACAGCAGTAAATATTTGTAGAGTTAAAAACTATTTATATGGTCATGACCTTTTATGACCAGGTTTTAAAACTGCTTTGTCACCCTGTACATCATCCAATAAAACAATATCAGCAGAATATAGTGACGGTGGCCATCCCACTCTTTGGTTGACCATTAAGAATGACATCATCAAGGCTTGCTTGCATTTCTGTAAGTTTTTTCTCCAGCAGCCATTATCCTGCAGTTCTGCTGACCAGCCCCCTGCCTCTGACCTCAAATTTAATTTTCACACAGTAGATTGAACTGGAGCTGCGCCCCCCCTCTAAGATCAGAGACAGAGTGGAAAATAAAATTAAGAGACGACAGCATGAGGAGAGAAAAAGCCCTGTCTGGAGTCAGGAAGTGTTTTTGCTGATTTGTGAGGACGACACCAAACCTCACATGACAAAACACACAGATATTTTAATCTAAAACTTTAATCTAAAACATTCCCACATTTAGATTTTCTGTATGCAGAGGTAAACGCATCAAACTATTAAATACTTCATTTATCCAAAGAAGAAGAAACAACCATCATCTTTTTTCACAGAGGGTAACTTGGCTGTTTCTTTAAAAGTGTCGAATATTGGCTGATTTTAAAAGTATATGCTGATTTAAGAGTCTGGTTATAACCTGATAGCTAGTGCTGAGTGATAACACGTGGTCAATAAATTCATCAGCAGTTTGGCAGTAATAATCAGAACATTTTCTCCTGCTCCTTATTTTATTTAACCTTTATTCCAACAGGCAAAACATTAACAACAATTTCTTATTTACAATGTTGCCTTTCAGATAGGTAAAACAAATCAATAATTATCTATATCGACTGATATGAAACACTTGTGATACATTTTTCAGCCATATAGTCCTGCCAAGACGTCTTACTTTTGTCCTATAAAAACTATATTTTGAAAAAGACAACATAAAACAGTACTGACTGAAGAGAGTCTTTATGTTGAGGGACAAGTGAAAACAGCAAATATCAGCCTTAATAACTCACCAAGCCTTCCTTCAATCTGTCCTAAACCTGGGAAAACAGCTTTTATGTTTAATCAGTTACTTCTTAAAGGTCAATTAGATGTTTTTACTTCTAAATGAAGCATTAAGCTTTGAAGGCACACCTGGTTTTCAGTGACACAAGTCCTTTTCTCTTGGCTCTTAGTGAACAGACTTGGTCCTGAGAGTATTTCTCCTCTCAGTTACAGTCTGGAGCTAAAACTAAACCCTTGTCCTTTCGCCAAACTTGTTACTTTCTCCTCTTTCACACGCAAACAAACACACATTTATTCCTCCGTTCACCAGCACAGCTTCAGTGTTACACTGTTGGATAAAGTAACACAGTGAAAGTGATACTTGAGTAAAAGTATCTTACCAAAAAAAATGGACTTTGGTAACAGTTAAAGTCTCCTTTAGGAATATTACTTGAGTAAAAGTGTTAAAGTATGTGATATTTGTTGTAGTTAAGTATTAAAAGTCAAAGTGTAGATTTAAAATGATCAGTTAGATTTTCTGTAAGGACATTTATTAGGAGGTGACCTCCCCAAAA